TTCCCTCCCTCCCTCCCTCCTCAGGTGGTGTCCGGGTGTGCAAAAACGAGGGGCTGTAAATAGAAAACGTACACAAAGGTCGTTCGTTGTCTGCTGAGCATCCATCTTGCAGGACATCGGCTGTTCACAGCCTCCAGGCGAACCCTCTGTGAGAAACAGAAACAGAACAAAGTGTCTGTGAGGATTTAGATGTAAGTTTAGGAATCCCAGACTGGTTTGGGTTGGGAGGGACCTTAAAGCTCATCCAGTTCCAACCCCCCTGCCAGCAGCAGGGACACCTTCCACTAGACCAGGTTGCTCAAAGCCTCATCCAGCCTGGCCACAAACACTTCCAGGGAGGAGCAGCCACAGCTTCAATGAAAGGTGTGATTCAAACCGTTCCTCCTTGGGAGATGTTTGTAGGATTCCTGGGAGTTTACAAGGCGTGGAGGGATGGCTTTAGTGTGCATTCCCGTTAGCTGGTAAATCAGAAAACCCCGTGATGAGATACAGACCGTGGTTAAGCACAGAGACTTTAACTGGTTTAGATGGACATTGAAAATAATCAGTCTCAGCCACTGCCTAGGAGACAGAAAGGCCCATTGTTATTCAGTGCTGATCAAGAGAGGAAATTAAAACGTTTGTAGCACTCAGACAACAGATGTCTTGTTTGTGAGGTCCTGCTGGGAATCAACTAATAATATGGGATGTAACATATAAAAGTTTTTTCAAAACCGCCATGAATCCCACATCCCACAGTCATTTTACTTGGATTAATAAAGATTATTGGTCTCTTTCCCAGCTTTTAAAATGATATAAAAATAATCCTTAACTATAAAACCTATAACAAGCAGAGAAATAAAGTTTGATATTGGCTGCTGGGATTTTTACAAACTGAGTTTCAAATCCTGCCTTGATTCTTGACTTGCCCTGCACCATCTTTTTTTGTCCTGTCTTACAGGGTTGCTTTTGGCCTGTCCCTGCATAGAGACAGCCACCCTTTGATAATGCTCTGACTGGATGAACTTTGGAGTCCCCTGCTGTGTGTTTGAATAGTTGCCCTAATTTTGTTTCAAGGGCTTCACTCTCAAGCAGGGTGTGGTAGGTGATGTCCAGCCCTCTTCTGTCAGCAGCCCATTATCCACCCCTTTAACTGAGTGACAGACCGACACAACCCAATGGCCTTAGCTTTGTGGGAGTATTTTAAAAGGAGAGTAAGGGGCATAAACCAGAGGAGATGCCTGTGAAACAGGAACCAGCCAGCCAAGTCCTGGAGCTCATTGTCTCTGCTCCGTCCCGCTGCTCCCAGGTGCTGTACGAGGATTGCCGGATGGTGGCTGTGAATGCCCCGTACGTGGCAGGATTCTTGGCCTTCCGAGAGGTCCCTTTCCTGGCAGAAGCTGTTCAGAGACTAAAAAAAAAGAGCCCAAGCTCAAACCTCAGGTGTGGCCTGTTTCTTTGTCCTGAGTTGAAATGTCCTGAGGGCCCGGAGTACTGCTGGAAAGTGTTCTTCCCTCTCCCGAGGCCACTGTCTGGCTGTTCTCCACTGTCGAGGCGGAAAATGTCAAAGTTGTATTGAAGGATCTATTGGCCTTTCCTTAGGGACTAGGGCTGCTAAGCCAAGAACAGCCAGGCCTCCCTTGGCCATGGGAGTCCCATTCTGTGTGCAGCACCAATGAAGAGCCCTGCCAGCTTCTAAGAGCTCATGCTGCTGATATTTAGAGTTGGGTGTAGACAGCACCGCAGGGAGATTCTTAAGTAAAAGGGCTCAGACACATTTCTCCCTCCTTACAGGGCCAGCCTCACTGTTTGCCTGTTTGAGTGGCTCTCAGTGCACAGGAAATAACATTTCTTTTTTGGCTTTTTCAGGTCCTTTTTGTAGATGGGAATGGCCTGCTCCATCCCAGAGGTAGGACTTCACTGGAGAGCCCTGCTCTCCAGGGTCCCTAGCTGCTGCTTGAGATTCCTCTTCTCTGGTGTCCTGCAGTTACAGTGACTCGTTGTTGGCAGGATTTGGTGTGGCCTGTCACCTTGGAGTCCTGACAGATCTACCATGCATTGGGGTGGCCAAGAACCTCCTGCAGGTGGATGGCTTGATCAGGGATGAGCTGCATAAAGAGCAGGTTAGGCCTGGTTGGGAGTTTATTTCTGTTCTTTAATATCCCAAGAGAACTGGGACAGCAGCACACAAGTACTTTCGCACCAACTGACCTTGTGTGTGTTTGTCCCTAGATTCGTTCTCTGCAGAGGGAAGGAGATGCGTTCCCACTGACAGGCACTTCGGGGAGAGTCCTGGGCATGGTAAGCTGCGGGGACTTTGCTGTTTGCTTGGCCATCAAGTCTTCCAGCTTTGTGTGGCTGGGAGTGCTGGAGGATGTTGTCTGTGTAGTTGGACTGTCTCGGTGATCTTAGTTCAGGAAGATGCAGTGTGAACAGGTCACCAGTAACACTGCTTTCCCCTTCCTGTGAGCTCAAACATTTGTCCAAAAAGGCAAACAGTCTCTATGAGGAGATCCTGGGAAGTAGAGGGTTGAGAAGCCTGGGAGTTACCAAATAGAGAGCCACCATCCCACCTTCTGAAGGCAACTGGCTAGCTTATAATTCATCTGCCACTCTGCATTTGTTAAAATAAGCCTCTTAAGTATTTGATCTTTCTTGTTTCTCAATGCACAGGTCCTGCGTAGCAACAGCAAGAGCTCTAGGCCGCTTTATGTCTCTGTGGGTCACAGGGTGTGTCTGGAGACAGCCGTGCGTCTAGTCAAGTCCTGCTGCAGGTACCGGATCCCGGAGCCCATCCGCCAGGTACACAGGCAGGGAGCTGAGGAAGGGGAAGGCAGGCCAGGAACAGGGAAGCAGGCAGTGGAGGGGGCTGTGGATGCCAAGCCTGTGGCGATGTTTCAAAGCCTCAGTTTGTCACTCATCTGCAAGGGACAGTTCTGCAGTGGGCAGCCTTTGCTGGGCTGTTCCCCCCAGCCTGTTGAACTGTCTGTGTGGTCGTTACCTCCTCCTTCCTCCCTCCTCGCTCCTCTGACGCAGTGCCTGGAAGCACACGCAGCCCTTACTGCAGACCCAGCCTGACTGATTTCTTGGTTCCTCTCCGCAGGCAACTGCTGTGATGCTGATGTTAAAATACCCAGGAGCTGGAAATGCAGTTTTCCTGGGCACTCTGAGCCTCACACAGACTCCTGCAGACTCCTGCAGTGCTGCTCCTCTGGGCTTTTCCCTGCTACTGCACTCTGCAGGGAGCTGCAGGCTCTGGGGCGGTCCCTGACCAGTAGGTGACAGCACTGGATCACTGTCAGGGAGCTGCAGCTGCCACCAAGGCTCAGCTTCAGACTAATTGAATCGCAGCAGGGCTTGAGGAAAGGATCTGGAGAAGTGTAAAGCCTCTGGGACTTCTAGCTTGACAAATGCTTCCCTTCTCTCAGGGTCACCCTGCTGTTAGTGGCTCAGGCAGGCCTGACCCAGCAGCTGCCCGGGGAGCAGGGCCTGTTCAGGTGTCCGTGTTTGTTCCGTGTCCCTGGAGCACACCGTTGGCGTTGCCACGCTGCCGTGTGCCGGGGGTCTGGCCACCTTTGCTCTGCAGCTCCTCTGAGCAGCGCTGAGGTGATGCTGCTGAGGGCTGTTCCGCAGTCTCTGCACACAGGAGCTTCTCATTGGTACTGCAGTGTTTTCTGAAAACAAGAGTATTATAGTTAGAAACCAGACAAAAATCTTAACACCTTAAAGCAAAACAAACCTTGAAGTGTCCACAGCAGAACTGGAGTTTCTGATCTCAGAAACCACCACCCGCCAGACGGGAGTAGGCTGCTCGCTCTTATGTAATCTCTTCCAGCAAGGGACAGATGCCTCCGCAGAGCTCTGAGCTAGCTCTGCAGTTTGGCATGTGCAGAGGGACGGGAACAGCCTTCCCTTTGGAAACAAAAAGGTGTCCTGGAGCTTTTCATCACCCTCATTTCATTGCCAGCTATCTCCAGTATTGGTCTGTGTTCTGAGACTCTTCCAGTTCTCTATCTACGACCTTTATTTAAAGTGATGGAGTGAATTGTTGTTGCTTTTACAGAGAGATTAGAAATCCAAAAGGGAGTGTGTTTGCTGTAGAGGTAGAGGGATGGCAGGAGATAAGGACACTGAAACCTTTCCACAGGGCTTTTCCCTGTCGCAGTTCCTCTGAGTGTAACTGTCACAGATCTTGATCCAGGGCAGTGCTGGAAGCTTCAGCTCTCGAGCACCTAAAGCTGGAGCTGGGAATTAGAGTGTTGTGGGGAATCTTGCTGTGGGTGACTGACTTGGCCTTTTTGCTATGGAACGTCCCCAGAACAAGCTTGCAGACCTGATGGGTGATGTGCTTATGGCTTTCTCAGTGTGGTAAAAGACTTCTGGATTATTAACTCTTAGTTTATAAGTTCTCATGGCCCTAGAAGTATGATGATCTTAAGAGAGCTCAGATGCCCAGACCTTCCTGAGGCTGTGTTTATGGCTTGTACGAAGGCAGGATGATGCTGCAGGATGTGGTGCTGTGCAACTGTCGTGGGAACTTAAACCTCCTGCTCTCCTAGAGATATGGCTGTGCAGTCTGTAGAGGGTGTGCTGTGCTGCTCGGCCATGCAGCAGTATCTAGGCAGTGGTCTGAAATGGTTTGGGTTGTGTTCAGCCCACAACGTGTTCGTGCTGCCAAAGGAACAGTGGCTGCGATGCGGGTGAGAGGAGTCATCGTTCAGAGAAAGCAGAAGGAAGTGCATTGCTGCCTACAATCAGTATTTACATCCCACTTAGTGCTTAGTCCGCTTCTAAGTGCAAGGTTGATCTGGGAGAATTTTGCTTGCGTGGGGGTGATCTCTCTGTCCAGCCAGCTTGTGAGATTTTGAGGTTTTTCTGCAGAGTGTTGGTCATTTGGAGCTACCCAGACAAGGAATGAGGTAGGCAGGAGCTGCCATCCAGAATAACAAGCAGAGCATTCAAACTGAGTGGCACTGCAACAATACCGAGCTCTCCTGAGAGCAATTGCCCTTGCCTACTTCTGGCAGAGGTCAGAACCCCTCTCCAGTGTTTGCCCACGCTCCAAACCTGCTCAGACCCAGGATCTCCATGCACAGCAGGGAGACAGAAGCTTTTAACACTCTCCAGCTGCCAGGGATTGCGCTGGGACTGACTCTTCTGCTCTCACTGTTCCAGGTTCCTGGCTGGCTGCACACCAGCCTCCAGCTCACTTGATGATCCGTTTAGCTCCAGCTGGCACCTGGCCCAGCTGGTTCCTGCTGGCTTAGGATGTGGCTGATGGGACAGCCTGATGTTGCTCCAGCCCACCAAGAAGGACAGAAGTAGGCCTGCCCAGAGCTGTGAATTTCTGCATGTCACTTCTTGTGAAATATTAAACACTTGGCCTTAGGAGAACTGAGGAATAAGCCATCATCCCTCTCCTCGGCGTGCACAGCTCCGGCTGCCTGGCAGGGAAATCAGTAGCTGATATCCCAAAACTCTGAACTCCCTTCCGATGTACCCCCCTGCTGCAAGCTGGCTGGGCACACAGGGACCACCACTGCCTCTCATAAAACAGGCAAAGCAACAATTCCAGACCCTAAAGCCAGCACTAGTCCCCTCTGAAAATAGAAACAATCTGTGAGGATTATTACGGGACAGTTATCCATCTTATTGATTAGCCCCTCGGTTAATGCGCTGGGTTAAGCTGTCTCTCAGCACTGCGTTAGGAGTGAGCACTGGGCAGTAACTTGCCACCTAATCAAGCATTAGCTTACGTTTCAGCAGAACGTGGTTAGGCCTTTTCTTCCCTAGAAAAATAGTTTGTAAGATGTGACTCTTGCTACCTTGGGTCTCCCAGTAGGGACTCTATTGAACAACCTCCTTCCCTGGTTATAAAATACATCACGTAATCTCTCATCCTGAAGAGTGATCAAAGTTATTTGTCAGTTCAGTTATGAAACTGTCCAATTATAGAGAGAAGGGAAAAAAAAATCTCCCAAACAAACCACCCCTTATGTAACTGCTTTTCACTCTCGAGCTTGCAGAATCGTTAAGCAGTTGTGGAGCTGCGTTGCCAGCCGTGCACCGGCAGAGCCTCCACCGAGAGGGCTGCCCAGGAGCAGCAGGGATGGAGGGGTGGTGGGGAGCTTCTTGAGGTACAGGAGAGACTCCTCAGAAGTAGAACAGCAATGAGAGTAGCAAGGCTTCAAGGACAGCCACTGGGGATGCATTAACCCACTTTATTAGCGTGATCATCATATGCTGTGAAGCTTTTCCAGCTGGGAAGGTCACATCCTGCTTTTTAAGTGGAGAGAGACACTTTACCTTTGAGGTGGGGCACAGCAGCTGTTCTAAAATGTCACAGCGTAGCAATGTTTTTGGGAAAGAAAGTTTCCAAAAAAGAAAAAAAAAACTTTGAGGGAATGTGAAAATGAAGTGCCAGTTCTCAGAGTTGTCCAGGAGCCCAAGATCTGCCTGCTTGCCGTAGCATCTAAGAGTCTTCTGCACTGGAAAGCTGAACAGTAATGCTCTAGGGGGCCAAGAACATCCAGTAAATGTCCAGCAACACTTTCTGTAGCTCTTGGGATTCCTGTTGGTGTTCTCCTTGCCCCACTCTGACCAAGTACCATCCTGCATTGCTGATAGGAGACGCCAATGTCATTTTCCTGGTGAGCTCAGGAGGGCTCATGTCACAGCAGAGTCTATCAAAGGAGGAAGGGAGGAATGGGACACTTGCATGAGGGTGGGTTTGATGAGGTTTGGTGATGGCTCCAAGCTCGATTTCACACGAGGAGGACAGTAACCCTTGAATTTGGTTATTTTTCAATTATTCCTTTTGGTTTTGGTACTGGGAAGCAAAGCTCAGAGCACGGATACGGCCTGGTGTGTAAACTGCTCCCCTTGTCTTCCTCAGCAGCTTTGCCTTTGGACTGTGAGGTGGGACAGTGTGAAAGGTGTGTCAGTCACTTGCCTTGCAACTGCTGCCAAGAAGCGATAGAGCCAAGGATGTGCTTGTGTCTCTGTTGGCTTTTAGTGGGTGTTTTTACCTGCTTTAGCTGCATAATTACCATCCCACAGCCGGCCCATCAGGAACACAGGCAGGATGAGCCAAGCTCTTGCTTAGGGAAGAGGATATGCAGCAGACGCGTGCTGCGCTTCTCCATCTGCTGCTGCATCATACAACTGCTGGAACAGAGGAAGGAAGGGGATGGGTACAAACATGGGCAATGCCAGCTTCTCTCTTTTCATCCCATGAGCTCTGGAGAACTTGCTGGATTGCCGTATTCCCAAGCTCTCCACAGCCGTGTTCCCCCTCTCCATTTACAGTTTCCTGTGGAGGGCAGAGTCCCATTTCTCAGCTGATTAGTGACCAGAAAAGCTGATCCTTTGGGAACATCACAGTGTCACAGCATAGAGACCATGGATGATCTTGGAGTGCTGTGAGCCTGGAGGCTGCAGTCTGCACCCGCGTGGGAGAAGGTGCCCACATGTCCTTTGGGTTGGTTCAAAGGAGGAAAGCACTGGACCACCCTCAGGCTCCCCGGTCTCTCCTGGTTCTGCTGCCAGGGTCCATCAAAGCAGGGTTGCAGTTCTGGCACAGAGACAGGGCAAAAAGGAAAAGCAGGTCATCACCTCAGCAACGTTCCCTTTGCCAGTGAACACCTCGTCTTACAAAGCCCCTGGGAATCCTTCCTGGCCTGTCACGTCCCTGGACGATGAGGAGGGATCTTAGGAGCTGCTCAGTGTAGGGGTGAAGTGAGGGACTCCAGCTGGGTCAGTGCTTGCTGCGCTGCAGTGCGTGCTGGAAGCCTGTGCTAGTTCCTCCTCTGGGTCCCACAGGGACTCTTGGTGAAGGTCATTGCACTCAGCTCCAGCTTGGGTTTGCTGAGGAAGCCCAGCCTGGGTCTGGCTGTTCATCCTGCCGTGCTTGGGGCAGGTCAGGGCTGAGCAGACCTTAGGCACCGGCTGGCAGGAGCTGTCTGTGTCCAGTGTCTCATCTCCTTACTCCTATGAGAAGTAAAAGGGCGGACAGTGAGGGTTCAGCAACTGTCCTTTCTGCTTCTGCAGTGGCTTGTTCTCCAGTACAGCTGTTTGGTCCAGGACCCTCTGTTTCTATTTCTTCATTTTAAGTCTTCATTCTCCCAAGCAGCTTGCAGTGAGGCACAGAAACCAAACAAGGAAAGAAACACGCAGGTTCCTCTTTGCAACACAGTTGTACAAGAGCTGTTTGTGGTGTTCTGACATCAGGGTGTGCAGGGGTGTACTGGGATAATGAAGGGGAGGCCCCAAGCTGGCTGATCAGTCAATTTTCACTTGTTTTCCTCCTTAATTCCAGGCTGATATTAGATCGAGGGAGTATATTCGGAAGCAGCTGTGTTCACCACTGGAGGTCATATCTTCTGGGCCAGAGAGGTAGGTGTGTGGGCAGCCCAAGCAGCTGCCTCTCCAAAGGGGATCTGCTCATGTAATGATCTTCAGTAATGGCATTAAAGGGACAGACAGGGTAACAAGGTGAGCTGAAGTGACATGGGGACATATGCTGCCTCCATAAAGGCTGATTTCTGGTGATTGTAGCCATGCTACTTCACGTTTCTTCTGCAGAGCACTGTGTCCTGGGCTGGGGAAGGTCACTGGGGATTTGGTCTCTTTCCGGCACCTGTGATAAGCAAAGGACTAACGCCTACAGGTGTGACATGAGGGTGAACAGAAATATCCTGCAAGGAGCTGGTTTCTGCCCCCAGAAAGCAGGGGGAGGGTCAGAATCCCCCACTCTTACATAATGTAGCCAGTGGCTGCTCTGCTTCATGGGGTAAATCCACAGCAAGTCCACGGAGGGGCTTCATGGTGTAAATCCACAGCAAGTCCACGGAGGCGTAGGAGTTCCTTGTGTTGTGGCCACGCTGCCTCTTCAGCACAGCTCATGAGGGGGTGGTGTTGGGTTCCCTCAACCCACACCAGTACCAGGCTGGATACCAGACAGCCCATCCCAAAGAGCTGCTCGGGGATGCATGAAGTGTGTCAGGACTCAAAGCCCACCCTGCTCTGAAGGTCCTGATGGACCAGAAGAAGGGAGGGTTGCTGGTGGCAGTAGTGAGGGATTACTTAGGCTGGCTGAGGCAGCTCTTATGGATTCCTTAGGACACCTGGCTGGTGCAACTCATCGTGCTCTGCTCTGCTCAGCTCCACTATTCTTTGAGTCATGCAGCCAGAAGCAAAAGGAGCTTTCTCTGCTCTTGTAGTGGCAGTTGTGCAGCGTGGCCAGGCCATGGGGGTGGCCCTGTGCAGTGCCAGGCTGGGTGTCCCTGTCTCTAACACCTCTAACACCTTCCAGATGCTGAAGCTCACACAAAGGCTAGCTAGTTTGGAGGTCTGGGCAACAGAAAAACCAGACTCGTTCCATTTATGACCATAGATCTCAAAACCTGTGTGTCTGAGCCCCTTATTCACCAAATCACAGTTATTTGATCTTCTTGGTTTCTACTTTTTTTAAAGTCTGTGACTCTTGGTTTTGTTTCTAGCAGAAAAAAGGAAGCTGAACCAGATGATGAGTCTGATGCCAGAAGAAACTGCAGAGCCCCTCTTCACTAGATCCTCTCCTCCCCAAGGCTGTGGGTCAGGACGCTGCCAGCCCCTGTGTGGGGTTCTGGGGGGCAGGCAGACCAGCTTCTGCTCAAGGATCACGTTTAGAGCATATTTCTCAGGGTTGATTTTTAAACGTTGTAAAAATATTTGTGTAAACAAACTTGTAAGTTCGCAACAACTTCTTTGAGTACTCGGACAATTGCAGGAGGTGATTTCTAGGGATGCTGAGGTGTTTATAGGTAGAAACAAACCCCAGAGCTGGTCTTTGGCTCCCACCACACCACTGTGGCACGGAGACTTCCCTTCTTGTTGTTTTTGGAGCAGCTTCCACCCAGTCCCTGCAGCCTGTGCTCTCACATTCCCTCTGCACGTCTCCAGGGAACAGAAGCCCCGTGCGCGGCTCCGGCTGGTCCTGACAGACGGGCAGAGGACGCTGTGTTTCAGGTGGGCGTGTGACTCACGAGGGAGGGGACGGAGCCAACAGTCTGCTGTGGATTTTGGAAGAGGTTCAGAGGTCTGAGCTCCCAAACCCGAGAAGTTTTCTGTCTGTTTGGTGTCAGTGGCTTCTGCATGCTGGTGCCTCGGTGCCACGCAGCAGCGACCAGAGCTGGGTGGCTGCGTGTGGTGACATTATCTGTGCTGGGGACGTGGTGCTTGGGTGTTGCTGGTCTTGGTGGGAACTTGCTCGGCATTGCTGCTGAAGCACGATTCAGATGGAAGAGCATCGTGGTACCCAGACTTGATTGGTGTTACTGTCACCTTCTCTGCAGGGACTGAGGCAGGGGGCTCACGGTGCAGACCAGCTCTTGCTGAAGGAAATACCATCTCAGGGGAAAGAAGAATTTCCCATCAAGGAGGGTGGGGAGGGAGGTCCTTCCTAATAGACAAATCAGTCCGGGTGGCAGATCCTGGGCTTGAGTTTTTGCAGTCTGAGTGGAGTGGGAGCACTCATGTCAGGTCAGGAGGAAGCTCTCTGTGCCCAGACACTTGGACCAACACCCCTCAGTTAAGCCATTTGCGAAGCTTTGCTCTGGCAGCAGAGGACAGAACAAACAGGTTCAATCCCTGGATCAATACAACGAGTCTTGTCCAATTTGCAGGGTTAAAGCTTTTCCTCCAAAGGTGTGTGGGCTCCTGGTTGGGAGCACTCATGTCAGGTCAGGAGGAAGCTCTCTGTGCCCAGACACTTGGACCAACACCCCTCAGTTAAGCCATTTGCGAAGCTTTGCTCTGGCAGCAGAGGACAGAACAAACAGGTTCAATCCCTGGATCAATACAACGAGTCTTGTCCAATTTGCAGGGTTAAAGCTTTTCCTCCAAAGGTGTGTGGGCTCCTGGTTGTGTTCAAACCATTTCCAAAGAACAACAGGAGCAGATACAGGAGTTCTTGAACACAGACAAAACTCTGTTAAATGTTGATTTAAAAAACCGTGGCTGTGTAAAATTTCAGCCTGGAGAGGAAAAAGGACGTTTTCCTGGGATTGGAGGGGGGGGCTCTGGGTCAGGACTCCTGTGGTCTGTTTTAAATGCTGCCAAGCACTTCACTTCTGCATAAATTTATCTTACAGCTTTTGTTGCTCTTTTCTTGCCACCACCTCAGTCTCGATGCTGAGAGAGGACATCAGCCCCTTGCACGTGTCTGTGCAGCGGCTGCTGGATCAGAGCCTGGGCTGGTTCCTCCTCCAGCCCTGCACCCCGACAGCCAGGTGGGGAAGGGGGAGGAAGGAACAAACTGGGCTCCCCCAGGCCCGTGTGGGGAGCTTTGTTGGTCCTTGGGAGTGTAGAAGAGGGGAAGAGATGCTGGCAGGGAGCTTCCCAAAAAACCCCTTGCTGATTGGTATGTTTTAAAGACAAAGCCAGAAGCAGCTGCAGTTTTCAAGCCCCAAGAAGGAGCCATCTCCTGGGGACCCTCAAAGCCACGTTCACATGGGAGTTTGTTATGTGGGTGGACAGAGATGGGGAAAGGGAAACCATGGCAGTGAACGTGCTCCTTTGATCCCAGCGATGTGTGTGGGATCAGGGGGGCTGCCTAGGCAGGCTGGGGTCTGCAGCTGACAGTGGCTTTGACAGGGGACAGGGGTGCGGGAGGCTGGTGGGCCAAGGGGACACGAGAGCAGCCTTCTCCTTCCCAACACCACAGAGACAGCACCTCTTCTGACACTGCCGTGTCCCCCGTCTCGAGGGGACAGCGTGGAGATGGACCCTCCTAAAAAGCAGCCCCACGACTGCACTGACTGCCAGCTTGAGAAACCAGTGAAGCCACCAAACACCGTGGGAGCAGCCTCCCCTGGTGCTGCCACGTCCCTTGTCCTCTGTGAAGCCACCCAGAGCTGCCCGGGCAGCAGCTGGAGCTCGAGGCCTCGCAGTGGCCAGGCCACGAGCTCCACTAGCCCAGCTGTGATGGGGAGGGGACCCTGGCAGTGACCTCTTTCCAGGGAGGAGCATTGGTTGTGTAATTAGCGGCGGTGGCTCATTCTCCCTGCAACAGGAAACTCAGTCTGGTTTAAGGAGGAAGGACTCGCCGTGCTGAACTGTCTGCACACCAAGATCTGCTGGGGTGGGACCCCCCATTCCCCCTAAAACCACCTCCTGTGCTCCCCACCTCGGCACTCGGCTGGGTGCCTCCAGCTCAGCACAAACCCCTCTGTTCCCTTTCTGCCAAAACTGTGGGACTCGGGGTGAGCCCTGCAGGACCCCCTGAACTGGCAGGGCAGGGGTGTTAGCCTGTGAGCTCTTACTAGGAGGAACTGGTCTGGGACCAGCTCTCCTCAGGTTCGTCCATTTCTTATTCCAACCACATGAAGCAGCAGCTTCACCAGACCACAGGGACAAGGTTCTTCCAGAGTCTGTCACAAGTTCCAGCACACAGGACCCACTATGGGCAGGGGACAGCTGGTTCTTAGGTCTCATGGGCTGGACACCTCAGAAATCCATCTTTATTTTCCTGATTGCCTTGGCCAGGACTTTGCTGGCCCAGGGAGCTGCCTGCCCGTGCTGGGGTGTCACAGCAGATGGGACCAGCCCAGGCTCATCCCCAATCCTGGGTCCCACCACTCCTGCTGCAAATTGGTCCCAGGTGTGCTGGAGGAGCTGGTTTGGCTGAGCTGGGCCAGGGGAGGGGTCTGGGCATCACCTGCTAGAAAAGGGCTTCCTGGATAGGTGGGACTGTGGCTCTTCCTGACCTGACCTGGCCTGGCTGTGCTGCTGGAGCAGGTGAGTGGCTGCAGTTTTAAGGTTTCCTGCTAGATTGGTGATTTTGTGTGCTTGTGTTTGGCCGTGAGGGGTTTGGGGTGTGCTGGTCAGTAGAGGTTCTGCAGTGAAACATGAGAGCTGGGCTGTGTTGAGCCCAGTTTCTGAAGGGGAATGTGAGGGTCTTGCAGTTCTGGGTCTGCAGCTGGGAGTTGCCTCTTCTTGAGCTGTGCACTGCAGGGGAGATGCCTCTGCCTGGAGGAAGGATGTGAGAAAAGCTCATACTTAAAAAAAAAAAACTTAAAAAAAAATTTTAAAAAGCATTTTGAATCATTGCTGCCCCTCAGGCATCGCTGCTGCTTCCCTCTGCGCCAGCTGACGTGTCTCTGCGCTCTTCTTGTTCTGAGCGCAGGTAAACTCCTGAGATCAGGTGACTGGATTAAAGTCACCTTTACAGGGTTTAGGTGGAGGATGGGATGGGTGTTGCCTTGGGGGTGAGGCCTTGCAGCCCTCTTCACAGAGCTGCTGGAGCCCAGGGCTCTGCTTGGGTTCAGTGTTGACCTGTACGGTGAGATGCTCCCTCAGCTGCCCAAACCTGGGGAGATGGTGAAACAAAGGGACTAATCTCTGTGTTTGGTGTCTACTCGTGGCTCTGAGCACACTGAGGGATTAACTTGGTCTTTATCTAATTGGCTTATAAACTAGGGAAGGGAAAATCGCTTGGTAATGCATGAAACCTCCTCTTAATAGAAACTCAGAGACGAGAGCCTGAGTGTCCTTCGGAAGTAAACTCAGACACATCTCTTCCTTTTTAACCCTTCATTTGCTGGAAGTTGGCTTTATTGACTGTTAAGTATTTGTTCTTCTGTTCCCAACAATTTATTGTTGTCTTGTTATAATCGTCACCTTTAGTTATCACTAAGGATAACGTTAATATTTTTCTCTGTGACTGTTCAGGAGTCTCTGAATGGGTCTCATGGCTGGGTAACTCCTCAGTGCTGCTGGTGAAGAGGGTGCAGGGCTGGAGCTGCGGGTGCCTCCTGGGTGCTGCTGAGCACAGCCCTGGCATGCGGAGCAGGGACATGGCTGAGCAGTGATGCCCCCCAGCAAGGGCTGTGAGCTGGGGCAGTTGGTCACCAGTGCTCACTGCTAAATGCAAATAACGAAGGGCTGGCAAAAATCTGGGATGTGGGTGGGGAGAAGTAGAGTGGAGTGAAACTGAAGGGGAAGAAGATGGAGAGATGAAGGAAGGAGATTGAATCCTCTCTTGAGGCTGCAGTGGGGGCTGTGTGAAGAGGAGAAGGTTGTTGGGATGGTTCTTCAGCTCCTCACGACAGCACAGGAGTGTATCGTAGCAATCCCTGCCCCTCTGCCGTGTGCCTGGAGATGGATTAAGGTGACTACCTTTGATTAAACTAATCTGCCACCTCTGCTGCAGTCTCACCCTGGCGGTGCTGCCAGGTGGGGCAGGGCTGTGGCACCAGCATCCTCCCGCTCTGCTCCGGAGCTTGTTCTGCTGGGATGTGCCCTGTGGGTTTGGATGTCCTGGGTCCCTGCCGTGCTCTGTACTGAGACAGCTCTGCAGAATGCTGCCTGCTGGAGTGGTGGGGGGTGTGGAGGGGCCCTGAGCCCTCCCCTGCCTGAGAACACGCTGCTGAGAGGGGATGTGTGAGCAGGGAGGTGTTAAAGATCTGCCTGATCTCAGGAACGCTGGCATCTACCTGGCCTGTGGCATCTGGGGCACGTGGCCCCATGGCTTTCCGAGCCACGGCAGTGAGAAGGGGGCTGCGTGCCCCCCCCGGGACTCCCCAGCCGCT